CGCTGGCAGAATGGAGAACTTCAGTGGCCACAGGCCCGCATGGGAGCGGCCCGACGGAACGGGTCACGCTATCCATGCATTTGGGGCCATGGTAGATTACTGCGCCCTCGCATAGCTTCCAAGGGGCCCCCTGGGACCAGTGGCAGTACTTACCCCTCTCCTGGGAGATCCGGGGAGACAAAGATGGTCTTTAGCCATAGGGCAATCCCTGCCTGCATCACCAAGGTGATACCCAATAGGGCAGTTCTACAGGAACAGAAGGCACATCTGAGTGCAAAATGCAGCTATGGGCTGCAGCGATTGAGAAATCCAGGGCCAGAAGACTGAAAGTGCTCAATAAAAGGGCCTGCAGCCCACTCCGAGAGGCAGATGAGCCAGGAAGACTCACTGACTTGGATTTTGACGACTGGGAGCCTGGGAATAGCCCACGTGGAGATTGCTGTCCGAGGACCTTGAAAGGGCCGTCCTGCATCTGGGAAATACAATGTTGAGCTGCATCCTCCTCTTCTATTCCTAGTTATCTTAGGTCAGATGGCAGCCACGGTGGAGATAATAATACAATTTATAACACACGCAATGTTACGGACCGAAGACGCAATTCCGAGGCGCGGAGCCGAGCTCGGTGAGAGATGGCGTCGCGTGGTTACAGGGAGACTCGGTGGTTAAATGTTGAGCTGAAGAGATGTGCCTTTAGATGGTTTTTGAATGAAGAAAATTATTGATTGTTACAGAAGTGAATAGGGGATGGCGTTCCAGAGGACAGTGGCTGTAACGGAGAAATGACGAGAAGCAATGACAGTCCTTGTCCTGGGAGTTTCAAGGAGATTCTGCGACGCATTGCGAAGGTTTCTACGATTAATTTAAGTGTGTAAGGCATCAGCAGATAACTTTGGTACGGTGGGTAGCCGGATTTTAGGGCGCGGTAGCAGAGGCAAGTGATCTTGAAGGTAATTCTGGTCAAAACCAGCCAATTAAGGGCACGAAGGATGGACACGGAGTCAGGGCGAGGGTTGCTGGGGCCGTGGACAACTCGAGCCATGTGGTTTTCGAGGCATTGCAGATTATTTTGGTTGCTTAGAGTGGACCGGACGAGGACTGAGTTGCAATAGTCGACCCATGACCCAACGATGCTGCAGGCGAGAGTATTTGCAGTGTTGGAGGTGATGAACGGACGTAGATGGCGGAGGGTCCTGAGATGGTAGTTGCAGGACTTGAAAACGAGGTTGACATGGGTGTCGAAGAAGAGAGTGGGATCCAGAGTGACGCCGAGAAATGTCAGGTGGTCTGAGAATGGAACGAAGGAACGGATGAAACGATTGAGATTCCCGAGGGGAGTGGGAGGGAAACCAGTCTTTGGCTAGTGACAATTACGTGGGCCTCGGATTTGGTAGGGTTTAGAGAGAGGTCGTGATCTTGAAACCAGTGCTGTAATGTGGTCGAGCAAGCGGAAAGACTGTCGATACCTTAGTTGCTGGGAGATTTAATGGAGGTAATGAGAAGAGTGTCGTCAGCATAGGAGTGGCAGTGGATGTCAAAACTGTCGATTAGTCGGCCAATGGGAAAGTAATATATGGAAAACAGCAGGGGGCCCAGGACTGAGCCCTGAGGTACTCCACATGTTAACGGAATTGCGTTAGAAGAAGTAGCTCCCACTTTGACGGTGAAACACATGCCGGACAGAAATGAAGAAATCCAGTTTAGTGCAGTCCCGCTGATCCCGAAGTCGGACTCGAGATGATTGATTAGGCGTTTGTGGTTCACTGTGTCAAAGGCTGAGCAAATGTCAACGCTGACAAATGAAGCTATGGTCCTATGGGCCCGGTTGCACTTCAATGTGCTCCAGTGGTGCCTGCTGGATGGGTGGGTTCTTGAGGGAGGGGGCAGCGCACGTCAACGCTCTCCCTTATCGCGAGCGGCCAGGAAGGACTTGAAGTGGTGGCTCACCTCACCACGGTTGCATGGGGCCCACCCTTTAGGCTTCTTCGAGGAGCACCTGGTTTCAGAGACGGGCAAAAGTCTGCTGGGCTGGGTAGCGTCTTGCGCAAGAATGGCTCTGCGGGTAGAGAAAAGGTGGAGCATCAACTTCCTGGAGCTAAGGGCGATGCGATTACACTGGCACCGCTTTTAAAGGTCGTGGCAGGCAAGGATCTCGTGATCAGATGCCACAAACGTGACTACAGCAGCAATAATCAGCGAGCAGGATCACCCAGGCTGGACAAGCTGAGTCATCTGCTGATGTCATGGCCAGAGGAGAACCAGGTTTGCTTGCAGGCCAAGCATCAGTCGGTGGTGGACAGTCAGATGACTGATTGGCTCAGCAGCCAGATGCATGGGAGTGGGTCGAAGCCTACGAGCAAGGCGCCCTCGGGCGACGAATCCCGATGGTCGGACCAGTTTGCCTATGAGGAGAATGCCAAGATGATCCGGTGCGCGTCTAGGTTTTGGCACCGGGAAGCCATTGCGATGGATGCAATGTCTTGCCAGTGGGTGGGACAGTTGGGGGTACAGTATGTATTTCCGCCTCCCCCCCTCATTCCAAAAGTGTTGGAAAAGGTCAGCAGGAGAACGAGCAGAGGTGGCCCTGATCGCCATGAATTGGCCCAGGATGTCATGGTACTCTAACCTCTCCTGGCCCCTGATTTTAGGAGAAGCCTGGCAGCTCCTGCAGAGAGCAGACCTGCTCCTCCAAAGGTGAGTGTGATGTCAAGGCCTCCTGGCACTGAACTTGATGGCCTGGCGATTGAGAAGGCCTAATTTAACCACTGGGGTCTAGATGTGGGTGTTCAGGATCTCCTACTAAAGTCAAGCAGGGCCCCGACATGGAGAGTGTGAAACTCACATTGGAGGTTCTTCTGGGTTTGGTGTGAGAAGGATATCAATCCGGTGGTCTGCCTTGTGGCATGTGTGGTGAGGTTAGTAACGGAGGAATTCTAGAGGAGTTTTTCCCTGGCAGTCCTGAAGGTTAGGGTATTGGCCATTTTGGCTTTTCATAATGAGGCCAAGGGAACCCCGGTTGGGAGTGACATGATAATTTCCAAGCTGTTTAGGGCCATGAAGCAGGAGAGGCCATCGGTGCGGCTTGGGGTTGTTCCCTGGAAGTTGCATTTCATGTTGAATATACTCTGTGGTCCTCTTTTAAAAGCCCTCACTGCTTGTATGGAGAGGTTCTTAATTCTGAATATGGTGTTTCTGGTGGCAATAACGTTAGCCAGAAGGGTGAGCAAGCCGCACACTGTACTGGCAGGACCCCTTCCACGTTCAAGTTCAAGTTCATTTATTAGGTATAGCCCTGTGAGCCATTCAGCTCTTGAATCGGGTGCAACCGCAACAAAAAAAAACAAAAACATGAACAAAAAACATCTTAAAGTGAATATGTGACTAAGTGCAAACAGAAAATCCAAGAAAAGACAGCAAAAATATTGCAGAAAAAACACCGTACACCAACGCTGTGTGCAAAAATCCCAGTGGGATGCAAGTCAAACAACAACAACAACCACAAGACAACTTAGATTAAGGCCATCAGTCTAACTCTGTACTACAACAAACAGACATGGCTAAACCAATACACTTTTCGAAATCACCAAAATAAAGCCATGAAAGCAATGAAAAAGCAATCATAGGAACTGTGACGGAATTTTCACAATAAATGGCATTAACAACATGTACTACCAAAACCCTGCAGCCATAGCTGGCTGCATGAGTCACTCCACAACAGCAGGAGCATCAATCGGAGTATTGTACATTTTCAATGCACCTTTAAGATCAGCACACTAAATCAAAACACAGGTCATACTTTGTAGCGATCATCCGGAGCGAAACATTTTATTTTAGGTCACTGAATAGCACTGGCAGCTAGGGGTGTACAACTCCTCTAAAGCAGTTTTGAGTGAAGATCTCATAGGTAGTGACTCAAGTTTCAATTTATTTGCAACAGCATTCCAGATCCTGGGGGCATCAATAGCAAAGGCCCTTCCTCCAGTATATGTACGGCAATAGGGAATATTAAGCTGGTAAATGAGTGTAGACCTTAGGTCAAATTTGTTCTTTGAAACAGAGACGAGATCCAGCAGGTAATCTGCAGATTTTTTTGCAAGTACATCATGAATAAATAAGATCTGGTGCACAAGCCGTCGAACATTCAGAGATGTTAAGTTTGACCCAATGTAGAGATCACAGTGGTGAGTCCTATATGGGCAGTTCAATGCAAATCTTAAGGCCGAGTGATACATTGAGTCAAGCTTCTTCAGTACAGTACTTGGGGCTGATTTATACACAATGTCACAGTAATCAAGTAGAGGCAGTATGGTAGCTTTAATCAATTCCAAACGGAACATAGGGGGGAAGCATAGAAAACCAATTTTAATTTTTGTCTTGGTAAAGTAACGAGCAGTGCTGAGGATGCCGCTTTTTTTGTTCATAAGCTTCCCCAGAATACCGTGTCAATTGAGAGGTAAGTCTCCCAGCGTTCTGCTCGCCGCAAATCAGGTCTTTAAACGAGTTCAGAACGGACCCCGTGCAGGCTCTCTCTCACTTTACATGACTCGCTCCAAAGAGTGGAGGAGGTCAGAGCAGCTCTTCATTCTCTATGAAAAGATTCCGACCATGAACACTGGACTTAATATAAGCATAAAGCTCTGTTTTCTGGCTCATCAAGGGGGGCATGTTATTGTCGACTTCTTTTGTTTGCGTGCGTGCGTGTTGTTTGCGTGCGTGTGCGTTGTTTGCGTGCGTGTGCGTTGTTTGTGTGCGTGTGCGTTGTTTGCGTGCGTGCATGTACAAGTGCGTGTGCGTTGTTTGCGTGCGTGTGCGTTGTTTGCGTGCGTGCGTGTGCGTTGTTTGCGTGCGTGCGTGTGCGTTGTTTGCGTGCGTGCATGTACAAGTGCATGCATACCCGGTGTGGTGGCAATGCCCTGCGCTCGCCATCACTCCGGCCGTCATGTCTGCTCATGCAGTGCGCAGCGTGGGTGATGCCAGGCCGTCATCGCTGTGTCTCCGTGCAGGAAGCTGCACCACCAGTTTGCGGCCTACAAGGAGTACAAGGACGAGATCAAGAAGCTTGGCGGGGAATCCTATCGGGAGGGAGAAGCTCGCGGAGCCGCAGCGGCGGCTGTGGACGGATCGGAGGGGGCCCCTGTGAAGGGGGGGGGCCCTGGCGACGGAGAGGAGGTGGAGACCCGGCGTGAGACTCCCACCTGCGGGATTTGCCACAAAACCAAGTTTGCCGACGGATGCGGCCACTGCTGCTCGTACTGCCAGACGCTGTTCTGCGCACGGTGCGGGGGCCGTGTGGCGCTGCGCTCCAGCAAGGTGAGAGGGCGGCATGGGGAGAGGGCCCCGGTGCAACCCGGGGCCCTCTCCCCATGCCACCCTCTCACCTTGCTGGCGCTGCGCTCCAGCAAGGTGAGAGGGTGGCATGGGGAGAGGGCCCCGGTGCAACCCGGCTCACACACCGTCCCGTGTGGTTTCATTTCTATCGTTCATTTCACCCTCATCTCACCATCAGCTCACCATCAGCTCACCTTTAGCTCACCACTCTCATCCTCATCTCACCCAGATATCACTAACCCTGACCCATTCTGTCTTGACCCAGAAATGCTCCTTCACATCTCGCATGGACCTCCCCCCATGGCTGTCTGTCACTTCCATGTTATGACGCCACCTTCTCGCCATGGGCCATGTTGGTGCTGTGTACAGTGGCTCTTCTTGGGGGCCTGCCTCTGTACACACAAATCGATTGCATACACACCTGTGTCGTTGTGTATCGGTCTGTAGCGTCTCAAGTTTATCATAGATATTGATTTATGCGATCAGACCCAAAAAAAACTGTATTATGGATGATAAACTTGAGACGCGACAGACCGATGCACACACTTCGATACACGTGTATGCAATTGATTTAGATCGCGTCAATAAACATTGACGCGATTTAACCCAAAAAAACCTGTGTCATGGATGATATTGGTCGTGAAAGCCGACGTTTTAAACTCAAGTTTATCGTTGTTTAACGAGATTAGAACGCAGGAGGCCTGGATGAGTCTCATTTACACTAGTGACTTCGGTCACCAAATTAGCAAAAGCATTTACATTAAGACAAAATACAGCAATGAAGTTAATTGAAATCAACTAAATAGACAGGGTATGCAGACACTGAGCATAGAGGGGTTGGGACTGGGAATCACCAGGCTGCTGTTCGCCCATTGCTGCGTCTGACGTGTGTCCCTGGATCTTCTGAGTCTCTTTTGCTGTTCCTTGTTTCTCTCCTGGCCTGCTCGGACGCCCTGCGCCGCAGGAGGACAAAGTGGTCAGCTCCTTTCCTTCCCTTTCCTGCCCCCATGCACAGCGCTGACACTGCACACACGGATGGGCTTGTGACACACTGTGACACGCAGTGACACACTGTGACACGCACGAACATGCTGTGACGCACTGTGACACGCTGTGACACGCTGTGACATGTGCTGTGACACACTGTGACACGCTGTGACACGCTGTGACATGTGCTGTGACATGTGCTGTGACACACTGTGACACGCTGTGACACACTGTGACACACTGTGACATGTGCTGTGACACACTGTTACACACTGTGACACGCTGTGACACGCTGTGACACAATGTGACACGCTGTGACACAATGTGACACGCTGTGATACGCACGAACACGCTGTGACACGCTGTGACACACTGTGACACGCACGAACACGCTGTGACGCACTGTGACACGCTGTGACACGCTGTGACACTCTGTGACATGTGCTGTGACACACTGTGACACGCTGTGACACGCCGTGACACACTGTGACACGCTGTGACATGTGCTGTGACACACTGTGACACGCTGTGACACACTGTGACACACTGTGACGTGTGCTGTGACACACTGTGACACGCTGTGACACGCTGTGACACAATGTGACACGCTGTGATACGCACGAACACGCTGTGACACGCTGTAACACACTGTGACACGTGCTGTGAAACACTGTGACATGCGCTGTGATACGTGGACACGTTGTCACACACGCCCCTATTGGGTCGCCTTATGTCTCCTGTCCCACTTTGACATGCACAGATCAATACAAGATTGCTGCGACGTCTGTTTGTGACAGCTGCCTGAACTAAGTCACCACCGCACACCTCACCACCGCACACCTCACCACCGCACACCTCACCACCGAACACCTCACCACCGCACACCTCACCACCGCACACCTCACCACCGCACACCTCACCACCGCACACCTCACCACCGCACACCTCACCACCGCACACCTCACCACCTTACACCTCACCACCGCACACCTCACCACCGCACACCTCACCACCTTATACCTCACCACCGCACACCTCACCACCGCACACCTCACCACCGCACACCTCACCACCGCACACCTCACCACCGCACACCTCACCACCGCACACCTCACCACCTTACACCTCACCACCGCACACCTCACCACCGCACACCTCACCACCGCACACCTCACCACCGCACACCTCACCACCGCACACCTCACCACCGCACACCTCACCACCGCACACATCACCACCTCACCACCGCACACACATCCGATGGCAACCCGTCCCCACGCTTGTGGCAAGCTTCTCTGTGCGTCCGAGTGCGCGTGCTGCATGAGAGACGGCTCTGGGCTGATGATGTTCGCAACACGTCTTGCTGCCAAGGGGTCTAGTGTGACACTGTGTGTATCTCTGCTAATGTCACTATGTGTGTGTGAGTCGTGTGTACCGGTGTCACTGTGTGCGCCTAAGTCGTGTGCACCGATGGTCGTTGCGCTGGGGAGTGGACGACGAGATTAGCGTCACATTAGAGGAGAAATCCGCTTTGAGCCGGAGCCGTGGAGGGGGGGAGCAGCGTGGCCCCAAGCGCAGCCTGTGCACAGCTAGGCAGTGCGACGCACTCCGCACCGCGCTCACTCCTCTCCAGCAGGTGAGCAGGCACGTGTGGGCAGGTGAGCCACGGAGAGAGGCCTCAAAGCATCGGGGGAGGGGGGGGCACGAGTCAGGATGAGAGAATGTGAGGGGGGGAGGGAGGTGAGGGGTTGTGGGAACGGTGGTGGTCTGATAGGGGGGTGAGAGGACGGTGAAGGTTTGTTAGAGGATACATTCACGGGCTACCTGTGCCTCGCGATCATCGCTCTCGTGACTGTGGGGCGGTGGTCTCTGGCGTCGGTCTGACCGAGACCGTTTTGCAGCGGATGATGCTGGGGACGTGGTGGCAAAGACGAGCATGGCACGACTTGCAGGGCAGGGTTTAGGCAGCCCCATCTTCATCTCGGCGCAAGTTCATCCCCTGGAGATGTGTCTGTGCTTCAAGGGCTTTTCCTCTCTATCGCAGCTCCCACGACAGAAGCCAGGCGATGATGAATTCACTCCCTTCCTTGCTCGTAGTTGGTACAGCCCAGAGCGTGTGGTTAACTCCGTGCCTGGTGTGACCTAGATCGAAGCGCGCTGTGCCATGTAAGTCTTTAATCTGGCTTCATGAAGGACAAACCATTCTCTCCGCGGGCACCACGTAGGCCGTGGGCGGCGCTGCTGCGGCCCCGGTACGCGCCGCGTTAGCGAGGTACTGCGCGTGGCTCCTCTATGCGCGCGTCGGAGAGCCGTGGAGCTCGAACCCATGGCTGCACCGCGATGTAACGGCTTATGGTGATGCGTGCCGGCCGCGTGGTGTGAGCATCCACCGAGCGAAGGATCTGCGCGTGTGGCGTGCGCGCCGCCTGCGTCAAACAGCTGCCTGCAGTCACAGGTTCGCACTTGGCACGAGGGTCAGGGGGTGAACTTGGTGCTAAGTCCGTGGTTGTGTCCGGCAGTAACGTGCGGTGCTCGTGAGGTGCACATGAGGTGAATCTGTCCTGCCGTAGAAGAGCGTGCAATCCGATCCACTATGGACATGTAGCACCCGCACGTAACCGCGGCGTGTCTCGGAGCCCTGCTTAGAAATTGCATTTTTATTTGCTTCACCATTTGTTTAGTCTCAAGAGTTACGACTCTTTGGTTCTTTCGGTAAAGTCACGTGTGTCTCCGTGTTTGTGCTTTGTCTCTCTCTCAAATGTAGTTCTACTTGACGACAACTGCTTGTGTTGTAATCGAAACGTCGTATTCTATTTAATTTATTTTCTTTCTACGTGACTTTACCGAAATAACCAAAGAGTACTTCCTGCAGTCACGAACACTTCAAACCAAACGTTACTGTCACATTGAGTGTCTGCTACTGTATCTTGTGCGGCGCTGCGATATCGCTGATGAGAGGCGCTCTGTGAGAAGCCACTCGAGGTGCTGCCGGCATGGGTGGCACGCTGCTCATATCGCCACGTTCAGGGCGTCCGGTGCTGTTGTCTCGGAAGGCCGTGACGGGCAGAATAGCAAACACCCGGGCCACTCAGCAGGGCCCGTCTCCTGTCCCCGTGTGGCCGCTAGCGGCCCTCTGGCCACGGGCCGCGGCGTGTTCTGCCGTGGCGGCCAGAGACCTCCCTCGGGAGCGACGCCCTCGCGATCGCGCGGCGGGATTCGGTGATGGAATGCTTTGATCTCCGCTCCCTCAAGGAGCCACGGACACTCTTGCTTGGCGCCTCTGCCGTATCGAGGTTGTTTAGGGCTAAGCTCCTTCGCGGGCCTCTGCGTGATTTGAAATGGCAACGCCATGATCCTAGGGTCGCTCGGGGTGACGGTGCGCAATTGGTTGGCTGCTGGGTCGTGGAGTCTGACCCCATGGCTTCCTGATGAGGCCGCTTAAGAGAGCCCTGTTTCATCTGTATGGGGATTGAGTGTTGTCGCCCTCACAAGTGTGGGATTTCTCCGAGTTCTCCGGTTTCCATCCAACATTTAGCAATATCAAATGTCCAAATATAGGACCGCAGAGCTTGGCAATTATTGGCACCGGTTCTGGCTACTTTCCCACTTTGCTGTGGTTTCCCACATCTCCGTCTGAGAGTGGATGGAAACTGTGCGTTGCAGAGTTTAAATAATGGATCTGTGGAAGTGTGGTGTGAGGGAGGCCACACGGTCGCCGGCTCGGTGTGACTGCAGACGATCGTAACAGTGAACAAGTACAGTTGGGTACGCTTGGTATCCGAGACATTCTTATAGCACAGGGCCATCATAAAGGCACTGCTATGCTTCACAGACGCAGTCTGCAATACACCTGTGGTAATAACCAGGGCAGCCCACCAAATTTTAACCACAAACCCCTGCCTGCAACAAGCAGCGAGCATGTTAATGCCGGGCTACGTCACCGCTCCAAATCCAAAGTTTCTGCGGGGTGTGCAATTACAGTGTGTGGCACACGTGTGGATTTCTGCCGAGCGCTGCGCGCTGATTGGTTGTGAGTTGATATGCGGCATTGGGAATATTGCAGCAGTCGGAGATTAGGGTAATGCTCTTACCGTGCTCCATTGCGAGGGGAGCCGGGCTGGCCGAGCCATTGTTGCATGCCGCACGCTGACAGTAAAAAGGGTTAGGGTCAGTGAATGGGATAGGGTTATGGCCTTAGTTCTGTCGGCGTTGGTTACACAGCTGTTCTACCTATGCTCCTCATGCTGCCCCTCTCCGCTGTGAACGTGTGTGTTTACGTTTCTACGTGTGGGTGTGCCCTTGCATCTGGGTAACCTGGGCGTGCGTGCGTGCGTGCGAAACCTGGGCACAGGTGATCTGGGTCTGCAACCTTTGCCGCAAGCAGCAGGAGCTCCTCACCAAGTCAGGCGCCTGGTTCTTTGGGCCGGCGGCCGGCCCCAGCGAAGGGCCGGGTGCGGAAGAGCAGAGCGACCCTGGGGCGGCCCTCGGACGTGAGCGCAAGGTCCGGGGTGGCCGCGGCGGAAATCACGAGGCGGACGGAGGGGAAACCGCCTCACGGGGTAGGCGGGGCCGCGACGGGAAGACGCAGCTGGCGCAGCCCGGACGGGCACGGGGGAACGGCAGGAAGGGATGTCGCTCACCGCCCCGCGGCACCACGGACAGCGGCTCCACCCGGCCAGAGCTACCGGCCGTCCATGGGTGGGCGGCCCAGCGTGGTTGCGCACCCCACCCGCTTCATGTCAGCCCCCGCGTTGGACGGGCAGTTGAGCGGTTGGCCCTTGCCCACGATTAGCACGAGATTCGCCGGTCAGGGTGATGAAAAACGTAATTGTATCAGTGGCTCGGCGTCGCGGTGCTCCTCCTGGTTCTGACATCGCTCTTTGCGTTCCCGTGTTCCCCCCTTGCTCGTGTTTCTGGCTGCGCGGCGACGCCGGCGGAGCAGCTCGCCGGTCATGAATAACCACAGGTGAGTTTGGCCGCCCGGCCGGTCCCCCGCCACGCTCGTCGCACCACCCCCCACGCTGGCCCGGCGCGCCCATGACCCCATGACCCCACGTGCGTGCGTGCCAGGAGTCGAGGCCCGGCCGTCCCATCGGAGTGCCCGGAGGGGGTCACTGGCCGGCGGCCTCCGGGAGTGATGGGACGTGGAACGGACGGCTGCCTGCGGACGGGAGGGGGCGACGGGCCTCCCAGTGCCACCGATCCACGGCTACCTTACCGCTATGCCGGCGAGGCGGCGTGCGGGCCGCTCCGAGGTGGCCGCGCCGACGATGCCGAGATGCAGGCCCGTTACCGCAGTGACCCCAATCTGGCACGCCACCCGGCGAAGCCGCAGCCGTACGAGCGGCAGATGCGCATCCACGCGGAGGCCTCCCGCGCTCGGCACGAGCGGCGGCACAGCGACGTGGCGCTGCCGGTCACCGAGGCGGACGAGACGGCGTACCCGGGGCCCGTCGCCGGCCGTGCCGACCGCCCGCGGCACCGGCGGGCCCTCGTGCCGCCTGCCGAACCCGGGGTACCGGACGCCCCCCGCCTGTTCCGGGGCATCCGGCGCGGCCCCGTGTCCCCGGGCCGGTGCCCGGACGCCCGCGGCCACGGGGCCCGCGGACCCTGTCGACGCCGGGACGGTACGGACGGTGCCGCGGTGGCGTGGAACGACTCGCTGGGCTCGGATCGGTCGGATGGCATGCGATGCGTGCAGCAGCAGCAGAAAGCGCTCGAGGTGAAGAAATCTCGGCACCGCTCTACCAGCAGTACCGAAGAGTCGACGCCAGAGTACAGCAGCTGCCCCGACGAGGAGGAGGGCGAGAGCGAGGGCGCCGGCGACACGGGTAGGTGCCGGGTGCGGCGGCGGTGTGGGCTCCGCTGTGAGGCCGGGCGGGGCGCTGCCATCGCCGGGGAAGCAGAACTCGCCACGCTGAGTGGTCGTGCCGCCCTCCGCCCTTGTCTCCCTCCAGCGGCCGCAGATCGGGACCCGTACAAGCGCGACGTGGCTCGCACGTACCCAAGTGGAGACCCCTCCCTCCTGGCGACGGTGAGGCCACCAGACCCCCGACCTTCGACAGTGGAGCGGCGAGCGGGGCCGCGGGACGACTCTGCTCGCCCGAGGGTTCCCTCCCCCCACGAACTCGTCCCTCCTCTTCAGGGCACTCGGCCTGTCGCCTCTCTCTGCTTTGAAGACTTTCCTCGAAACTTCCATTTCATCCCCTCTACTTGCTTCCTTTCTGTCCTTCTCTTGAGTAAGCGAGCCAGTGGGTGGGTGAGTCAGTGAGTGAGGGGGGGAGTCAGTGGGTGAGTGAGTGAGGGGGTGAGTTAGTGGGTGAGAGAGTGAGTGAGGGGGGTGAGTGAGTCAATGAGTGAGTGTGTCCTGTCTCTCGCACCCATTCTCACTCCTTCTCGTTGCCTCTGTGCTCTGGGATCTTACGCTGCTCACCCAAGCGGTTCCTATTCATCCCGCACTTAAGTTGTGGCCGTGATGACATTCCCGCTTGAGCACAAGTCCCTGTGCCCACAGCCCGTCACGTGGCAGCCGTCGCGCGAGGGCGACCGCCTCATCGGGCGCATCGTGCTCAACAAGCGCCTTAAGGACGGCTCTGTGCCTCGCGACTCTGGCGCCGTGCTGGGCCTCAAGGTACGGGGGGGGGGGGCGAGTCGTGTAGGGGGGGCGAAGGCGCTGTGGAACACCGTCGCTCTTGTGCAGAAGACGTGTTGGGAGCTTACTGGAGGCGTGGGTGGCTGTGAGAGCAGCGTGGCTCGTGGAGGTGTAGGTATGCGTGACGTGTGGCTGTGAGAGGCTCACTGGAGAGGTGGCTGTGCAGGTGGTGGGAGGGAAGATGACGGAGCCGGGGAAGCTGTGTGCGTTTATCACCAAGGTGAAACGTGGCAGTCTCGCAGACATCATGGGGAGGCTGCAGGCAGGTGGGTGCATTTCCCTTTGTGCGTATGTATGTTGAACTTCTTTCGCAACATAGCCAACCGTGCTAATCGAAGGTTACGAGTGTGTGCGAGACTGTCATCTCCGGTATAGACTTTTCGTCTTGCTACCGTGGGCGCCACGGCGCTGAGATGTTAACTGCCCCGTCTGGTATACGGGAGGTCGTGGATTCGATCCCGACCTTGATGCCCGTATATTTGGAGTTTGCATGTCTCTCTCTCTCCCCGTGGTTACGTGGATTCTTCTCTGGGTCCTTTTTCCCTCCACATTTAGAATCAACATCACGCGTTTAGAATCTTTGGGTGCTATAAATTTCCACATGATAAGCCACTTCGTTGAGGTCACTTCTGAAAAAGAGATATATAGCTGAGTGGGTCTTACCTGGTAAGAAAAAATTGTTTAGTTTTAGTTTATTTTAGACTGTCTGGGGCAAGTGCTGTTAGCTTGCATAACACTAAGAGGTGGATGCCCAACACTACATCCGGCCTCCTTTGACTCCCCAGTGGTGATGTTTACACCGCACCAGGTACTTCCTTAAAGGCTGAATCGATTTAGGGAAGGCTCAGAATTGGTTCATACAATTTTCACTGTTATTGGGAATGAGCAGGAATCGAACTTGAGTCGCCGGATTTGAAGAACAGCGTGCTAACCGTGACACTCCCGAGGAGTGGAAAAGCATCACCCACCTCTCTCGGTGGCTTTAAGTAATGCCATTGCGGGGGAAAAAGGCTGATATTAATCAGCTGCTATGCTCATTAATCAACAATTTGGCACAGTAGGGGGCATAGGTGGTGCATCTGTCAGTCTTCCCATTCAGTCAACCCATAATACCTGGATCTGTCCCGTGACCTGACAGCCAGCCTTCGACACTTCACGTGGCCCCAAAGTCCACCAAGCCTCGCAAAAGTGCTGTGCTTACGTAACCACCATTTGCTGGCGAATGGCGGCTGTCGTTGTTGTTTGTGTACATACCGGTTTCGTCCTCATTAGGATTAGGACTCATCAGCACAGTGCAGTCATCAATCCACCTGTTCTATTTGTTTACAGCCTGAACACCAGTTCATATTGCGAAAGTGTTCTCACCTTTCGCAGGAAGTTAACGTGTGGACTTCAGAGATGGGCTGTGTGTTTAGCATTTCTTACTTCGAGATTCCACCTTGAGCTACTGTGGGCAATGGCAGAGGTTGAATTACTCTTGAAGTTGCCCGTTAAGCCTCCCACTGCATCTGCACCAGATGGAAATTCCTATGGCACAGCCATGGAAATCTTCTCGAACTACCTGGTCAAAAAAACATGTCAAATAATGTGGGAGCAAGAGTGCATCCCTGTGGCACTCCAAGGTGAATGACTCATGACTCCCAGCCAGGCAGCTCTACGCAAGCCTGCTCACCATTACAAAGATCCTTTGTTATTGTGGGCAAAGGATGAGGGATCCGGAATACATGAGGAATAACACCAAGTTCTAGCATCTTGATGGCATCGTAGGCCTTGACCAGGTCAATGAAGCGGATATGTAGGTGGTGAGAGCCAGAAAACCACACTTGGATTACAAGCGTGTGCTTCCAACCTTGCGTGTTCCATGGAGATGCAGTGGTGTCACGTGCACGTGGTTCTGTGAAGCGGGTGTGAGTGGGGCACGTGCACGTGTCCCTGCGCAGGCGATGAGGTGCTGGAGTGGAACGGGCGGCTCTTGCGGGGAGCCTCATTCGAGGAGGTCTACAATATCATCCTGCAATCCAAGCCGTCTCCACAGGTGGAACTGCTGGTAGCAAGACCACTCAGGTGGGCAGCATGCGTGTACTTGCATGCGGACTCACGCATGTACTCGCACGCTTACAATCACACGTGTACTCACAGTCTCACGTACCCACACTCATATTAGCACGGTTGGCTATGTATGGTGCGAAAGAAGTTCAACATACATATTCACTCGTACTTACTCAAAATCTCACGTACTGGCACACGCAGTTGCAGTCACACACGTATTGACACTCAGACGTGCTTGGATTTACTTCCAATCGTACTCATAGCCACACAGTTCATATCACCTCGGGTCTAGCTCTCTGATCCATACAGGAACACAGGCATCATTGGCAGCATAGAACATCCGCTCTGTAGGGCCCACTTAGTGCGAGACCCGCTGGGAAAAGTTTCCCGTGTGGGCACCTCCCCCGGGGTTCCGTGCGTGCGACCGCCGAGCACGCCGTAGTTTCTCCGAGCGGCCTTTGTCGTGGGCCCACACACACGCTCGCACACACGCTCGCACGCACTTGCTCGCACACACGCTCGCACACGCACACACACACGCTCGCACACACGCACGCGTGAGCCGTGAGACGCCAGTGGGTGCGTCGCTCGTGTGCGTAACCGCGGCCTTGGCCCCTGCCGGTACCATTACAGAGACGCTTCCAAGATCCCCGAGGTCACCCAGGTGCAGCTCGAATCCAGTGAGTGGAATTCTGTACGGCCGCCATCGTCACTTGCATGTATCTCGTGCTGACGAGTCTGCGCTCCTGTCACCGGTGCCGTGTGCTCGTGTGACGTAATGCCTTATGCGCTGATGCTTCCGGTGCCACTGTTGGTGTTGCTGCTGAGTGCTGGCGGAAGATGATGTCTTCTAATGCTGCTGCTCCAGGCTCCAGCTCTTTCGAGTCGAGCAAGATGGATCAGCTCTCCACCTCCGTTACGTCTCTCACCAGCTCGGGTCTGCTCAGGGATGCCCCGCAGATCTTGCCAGGACGTCTGTCTGTGGGTGGATGCACGCTCACTTACCTTGCTCACACATGCTCACTTAACTCGCACGCTCCCTCGCGCTCGCTTCACTCAATGCTCACACTGCATTGCTTACCTCGCTCACCCTCCCTAGCATGCTTCACACCAGCGTGGGGAGGAGGCAGCTACATTTCATTTTCATTTCATTTTATGCTTGTGTTGTCTCCATGATTTTGCTCTAGCTGAGTTACACATTCGTAATATGGAATAAAAAAAGTATATTTTTTACATTTAATATATACTTTGTCACTCACATTGTGTATTTTTTTTGTTGCCCATGCCTTGTTTGCATTGCTCATGCTGCGCACGTGCGTTTTTGTGTTGCTCACGCCGCATGTCCTTGTCTTGAGTGTCACCCTCTTTGTTGTTGCGGCTGCTGCTGCTGTGTCCCGGCGGCTCCCAGCCTCGAGTCGTGGGCAGGCGGTGGCTCGGGCCGCAGCTGCAGGTACAGTAACGGCCCGGCAGCCCCGCTCGCTTGCGCCGTGAGCGCACAGCCCAGAGCACCGCATGCCCCTGAGCACTGTACAGTAAACTCACGCGTGCCACCGCCGCCAGCACGGCCAGGAGGAGGCTGCCCGGAGGACACGTGACATGGAGGGTGGGGGCGCTACGGGCTCATCGAACCACCTCACTCTCGGTCTCACTGGAACTGGTCGCCAGGATGATGTGTGGGGCAGTGCTCTTTGTGATGTGGCATAGACGAATCTCAGGGTCGTGCTGCCTCCTCTTCATCAGACTCTAGAGTCCCGGCGAATGGAGGTAGACAGCAGAGACCCTCTATCTTGGTGTGTCTGTTTCTGTCTAACACTGTCTCTCTAACTTTGTCTCTCTTTCCCTAACTCTCCAACCCGGTTTCTCCATCCCGGTCTGTCTGACTCCATCTCTCCGACCCTGTCTCATCAACTCTTTCTTTCCTAATCAGTTGATTTTTGAACATCGCCTTGCCAGGCACACCGAGGAAAAGCTTGTGGTCCTGCATAGATGTCATATTCTGTCCGTCTGCTACAGCGGATGTAAAGAATTTAAGTAGGGCCTACTTTTCTGCTTTATTGCCCTGGTCAAGGCCTATGATACCATCGATAGGCTAGGGCTCTGGGTTGTTCTTCGTTTTTTCGGAGTCCCTGACCCAAGGACAGCCGCACGGCCAGGAGTCAGAGCCATTTCCTCTTCACTTTGGGGTGCGATGGGGATGTCATCTGGCTTCTACATTGTTGAACATATTTTTTGCCCACGTCGTTTAATAATCTTTTCATGGCTGTACTAGAGGAATTTCCATCTGGTACAGATACAATGGGAGGCTGATCGATGCCCGGGTGCGGTCAAGGCATGGCTCCCTATTGGTCAACCACGTTATGTATGCCGACGACCTGGTAATGGCGGCTCACTCAGAGGAGGAGTTGGAGGCACTGCTACTGAAACTGGAGTGTGCCACTAAGAGGTGGGGCCTTACCATCAGCCCCACCAAAACGAAGCACCTGCCTGAGTATTTTGTACCATCGGGCACTCCACCCCCACAACTCCCAATCGGTGATGGGGCAGTTATGGAGAGAGTGGAGAGTTTCCCATATCTGGCAAGTGTGCTCATGACCGGCTTCGGTTTAACAGCAGAGGTCTCACTCCGAATCAGTCGAGCGGCATTATCTTTTCATCGGTTGCGTAACGCTGTGTGGAAGCTACCTGGTCTGTCGCTCCGCACGAAGCTTTGGGTCTTCTCGGCCACAGTCATTCCCTCCCTTCTCTATGCTTGCTAAACGTGGACACCCCCTAATGGAACATATTTGCCAGTTAGAAACATTTAGGCAGGCCTGTCTACGATCATCCTGGGTTTAACCAGGCTGGATTTTGTGAGGAGCTCACAAATCCTCGAAATATCTGGACAAAGTCCCATCGGTGAGCTCCTCCGGCAGGCAAGGCTGCGTTGGCTGGGCCATGTAGCCCGCATGCCCAATCACCGCATGCCCAAACAGCTTTTGTTCGGCCGGTTAGAGGGGGCTAAACGGGCGCGGCATGGGCTAGAGAAGAGATGGAGTGATGTGGTACAGGAGGATGTGGAGCTGAGTGGACTTGCCGATGACTGGTACCAGCGGTGTCGAGATCGGCCTCTGTGGAGGAGGCTCGTGAAGGCCGCTACTGGGCAGTTGAAGGCAGAGGAGCGACACTCACAACAACTAGCGGAGCGCCGGGTGGCTAAAGCACAGCAAGTTGGTACAGTAGGGGGCACAGGTGGTGCATTAGCCAGTCATCTCGGTCATCTCGGTCAGTCGACCCGTGGCACCTGCTGGGTCTGCCCCGTGACCTGCCAGCAGGCGGTCGACACTTCACGTGGCCTCAAGGTGCACATAGCCTAGCACAAGCGTCGTGGTGACGTCACCGCCACTTAGTGGCGAATGGCGGTTGTTGTGTTGTTGTTGTATGATGGTGGTTTATGCTGCTGGGTGCATGTACAGGTAAAGCTGTGGTACGACAAACCGGGTGAACAGCTCATCGTCACGGTGCTGGGGGCAGCCGACCTCCCGGCTCGCGACGATGGGCGACCACGCAACCCTTACGTCAAGCTCTACTTCCTGCCCGACCGCAGGTGCGCACGCGGGGGACCTGCCGGTTGGGCACGTGCACGTACAGAGCATCTACACGCAGCCGCATATAAGGGCGTCGTACAGAAGCAGTGGGTATATTTATGTTATAAAGAGAAAGAGGCTGTCAGCCATAGGCAGAGGAGTAGAGGGAGGCCTGGAGCCCAGAGTTTAAGCAGTGGCAGGCAGTCGACAGCACGGATTCCTGGGGTAAAGGAGTTCGAGAATACGGTTGCATCAGAGGGGAATTAGCGGCCTCCCACTGGGCGGAAATTGACTGGGGACAAGAGACCTTTGTGTTCCTGGAGCAGAGAGGGTGGAGGGGAGTAGAGTCAGACGAGAGGGGAGAGGTGGACAGGAGCGAGGTGTGAGCTCGTCTCTTCCTTTAATTGAGCGTGCACAGACCCTACTGGCACGTGCACACACTAACCGCGCACGTGTTCTGCTGGTGCGTGCGTCGCCGTATGGCAGCGACAAGAGCAAGCGGCGAACCAAGACGCTGCGCAAGACGCTGGAGCCGCACTGGGGCCAGACGTTCGTGTTTTGCCCCGTGCGCCGCAGCGAGTTCCGCGAGCGGATGGTGGAGGTGACGCTGTGGGACCAGGCACGCATCCACGACGAGGACAGTGACTTCCTGGGGGAGGTGGGTGTGCTGGCGTGGTTGTGCGCGCACGCGTGTATGTGCGTGTGTGTACGCACACACGCGGTAGTGCAGCGGACAGCATGTTGCGCTACAAACCCAACAGAGACCAGAGTTCGATTTTCGCTTACAGCCAACTCCCCTAGGTCGACTCAGCCTCAAATTAGTACCTGGTGTGGCGTTAAGACATCAGCACTGGGGAGACAAAGGCTTTCTGCTGGCCACCCATCCCCTTGTGTACCATGCCAGTCTTCAGAGGTGCTCCTGAACAGCACTTGCCTCAAAATTCTGTTTATACTGTATGGGCCATCTTTCACTTTGGACACGTGTGTGCATCTGAATACATATGTGTACGCCCACCTGCATAATTATAAAATGAATGGTGTAGTGCAAGCGAGTGATGTAAACTCCACAATCCTATAGCGAGGCGAGTTTGTCCATACGACAACCGCCCTTGACATCCCCATGGTGCTTGGTGGACTGGTGCGCTGCTTGTTGGCGAGGGACGCGCTGCCTCCGCTCCACCATGAGTTCAAGCTTCAAGTAAGCGGGATGAGTCTGATTTGCGAGACTGACCTGGGTCAAGCTCGTGAGGTCAGTCAGGGAGGGTGGCGGTTCCCCGGTGGGTGAGCCGGGCCAGCGGAGCGTGAGCGCACGCGATCGCTCGTGCCGCTTGTGCTGCTCGTGCCGCTGCAGATCCTGATCGAGCTGGAGACGGCGTTGCTGGACGACGAGCCGCACTGGTACAAGCTGCAGACGCACGACCTCTCCTCGCTGGCGCTGCCTGCCCAGTCACCGTACCTGCCGCGGCGCCCGCAGGCCGACCGCCGACTCACGCGTGAGGCAGCGTGTGGAGACGCGTTGACACCCAGACACCCGAACACACGCACATACTTCGTGCACACACACACAAAATATTTGTGTGGACGGTGTGTCATGCGTATGTGGACCTATGTGTGTATGTGGGGTGCGTGACGCAGCAGTTAGCACGCTTCACTACGAACCCGGCGATTCAATTCCCGCTCACGGTCAACAACAGTGACGATTATCTGATTCGGTTCAGGGCCTTCCCTAGGTCGATTCAGCCTCAAATGAGTACCTGATGTGGTGTGTAAACATCGCCACTGGGGAGAGAAATGGCGTGGTGCTGGCCAACCACCCCCTAGTGTGCAGTGCTCACCTTCAGAAGTGCATGCTGACAGCACTTGCCCCAACAGTCCGTTAAGGTTATACGGGGGATGTTTTTCTTTGTCTTTGTGTGTGCATATCACTGGAATGCAAAGGACACGTGGGGAGTAGTAGCAGAGTGGTTAGCGCACTGCACTACGAACTCGGTGGCCCGAGTTCGATTCCTGCTTATGTCCAACATCAGTAACAATGATTTGAACCGCTCCTTGGCCTCTCCCACGTGGACTCTGCCTTAAATGAGTACCTGGTATTGGGGATTATATGCCATCATCAGCACTCGGGAGACAAAGGTGGCTGGGTGTAGTGCCGGCCACCTCGAGTGGTGCCCTGTTGGCCTTCATAGGAGCTCGCTGACAGAACTTGTCCCAGGAGTCTGTTCAGACTATAGGGGGGATCTTTGTCTTTGTGCGTGACATGCACAGGGTCTCCGCGGATCGGTGAGAAGGAGGGGTCGGACTACGAGACGGACGATGGCATTGGAGCCGTGAGTCCAGGTGAGAGGCCTTTTGCTTCGGTTCCAGGGCCCGGCTCATGTCTCCACGTGGCCATAGCGTGTGTTTCACCACGGAGATAACGTTCCTCGTGAACTCGTGTGACCTCATGTGGTTGTGTGTGACCTCGTGTGGTTTGCTTGGCAGTGACGCGCCACCGTAGCCGCGAGAGGCGTGGCGTGGCCCTGGTGGTGCCGGGGCCGCCCAGGCACCGGGGAGGGTCTCGCTCTCGCTCCGTGTCGCCGCACCACCCCGACAAACGCAGCCGCTCGCGCTCGCAGTCCCCGCATCCCCACAGCACCAGGTGCTGCACCGCACGCCGCCCCGCACGGAACCGCGCGGAGCAGTGCATGGAGCGCTACACGTCGCACCACATGGGATACCACACACAGTACACCGCACACTACACAGGGGACTGGGTAGCACACTGGCATTCCTACGTTCGCATAATGTACCAAGAGCACACTGGCTGCTTACTCGTGTGTGTTTTACTTGTGTGTGTGTGTGTGTCCACGTGTAGTGTAGCCGTTACCTCCCTATGCTACGAACCCAGTGGCCTGAGTTCGATTTCTGCTCACAAGTGATGATTTATTGAACCGATCCTAGGCCTCCCCCCTTCTGACTCAGCCTCAAATGAGTACCTGGTTAGCACGGTTGGCTACGTACGGTGTGAAAGAAGTTCAACATACATCCTTACGTGTTGGAGTCCTCGTAAGAGTACTTGGGCCACGTGGGGAATCTTCGTGTGGCTTCCCTGTCTTGGGCAGTGGTGTGGACCAGGAAGGCTGCAGCCGACATTCCCGGTCACCGCGACGACCACAGGATGGGCCGGCGAGAGGAGAGTGCTGCAGAGGCCTTGCAGAGCAGTACTCGCCTGAACCCGACCGGTACTCGCCAGCGCGCCCTGCACACCGCATACCACACCCTCACCATACACTCACCTCAGACCAGCTCCGTACACCACACCCCATGTGTGACACACGACATACTCTGCATACACCGTAAACTGCACACACTCTGTTCACCATCACACAACGTGAACCTCACACCACACCTGCACACACTAAGCGCTGTACACACGATGCAGGTGTGTGGGGTATATGGGGTGTGGGGACGACGTGTGCGGTGGTGGTGCTGCTGCTGGGTTGGTGTGTGGTGCAGTACGATCTCCCGTGTCCTGGGAGGGTGCGCTCACTCGCTCGCTATCGCTCACCATCTCGCTCTCATTCGCTCTCACTCGCTCTCTTACTCACTTTTACTCACTCTCTCACTTTCACTGTCATTTTCACTCGCTCTCCCACGCCACTTACCGTCCTTTATGAACTGTGGATGTGTGGCTTTGTGTGTGGCTGTGCGAGTGTGTGGCTATGTGTAGCTGTGTGTGAGTGGGAGCTATGCGTTGAGCGACTGCTGTGCAGTGGATGTGGGAGTGGCTGACCCGGTGCCTGTGTGTGCAGTCACTTCACCACCTTGCCCAGGGCCAAGCCGGGCCACGGGGCAACCGCATGGGGCGAGGGGGGGCACAGGTAACGCTGCGGGATGCTGGTGACTATAGAGAGCATGGGCGATGTGCACGGGTAACGCCGGGGGTATGGTAATGCCAGGCACCCGGTCCTCTCCGTCTGTCTTCACGCTCGCTTCATGCCTTATTTGTTTACACATTTGTTTCAGCCAGCTATACACTCCGCGTGTCGAGTTGTTTTGTTCGGGTGATTTACATTTCTCTGTGCAAGTCTTGCACGACTGTTTTGTTGGAGTAAAGTTTATTTTAAATGTTTTCGTAAATTTGCAGCAACGCATTCATCCCAGTGATTCCAATCTCCAGGGAGGACGCCATCAGCCTCCTCCTGTCACATGAGCAGTCCGCCACACAGCACTGCATGCAGCGCACACCGCACAGGTGTGTGTCACCCACTTGCTCACCACCCACCCACTCACCGGCTCGCTCACCCACTCACTTGCCGACCCACTCACTCACCCACTCACTCACTCACCCACCCACGTGCTTGGCTCACGCTGTTTTTCAAGTGAACATGCGATGCCTGTGCCCTTGGTTGCTTCGGTCCACTCTCTCCCTCGCTCACCTTGGCACTGTCCGGTGCTTCTCCCTGCGCACTGGGGTGAGCGTTTTAGGCAGCAGGGGAAGCTGCGCCGCCTTCAGATGCACGTACCTCATGCCAGTCCCCCAACAGCAGGGCTCGCGTGCGATATGAGAGGACGCAGGGAGAGATGCCTCATGTCCCAGCGGCCTGGATAGACCTTAGTAGGGGCAGTGCAGAGGCTCGCTGGACTTTAGCCCTCTCGGTGCAGGCGCGGTCCTCAGTGAGCAACGTAGGGGAGATTGTGATGGCAGGGGACATGTGGGATGCTCATAATTCAAAGGGGCCTTTGTTGGCTGTGAGTTTTATGCTCGCTCGGTAGTGCTCCTGTTCTCACGGATACGCCGCATAGCGATGCTGCGTAGTACGTGAGCGCCGCGCTAGCGATCACAACACATACCTGATGAGTTGTGTGGGTGAAGGTGGTGGCTTAAGGCATTGTGGGGGTGAATAAACGTCGTGGACATCTCGCCTGGAGTAGAGAATGCACATGCTGTATTGGCGTGCGTGTGCGTGTGTGTATATGTTGCATGCAAAGTTCCGGGTCTTTTCTATGCTTGCAAAACATTGACTCCTTTAAAGTAACATCTGCGCCAGTTTGAAATATTCAGGCTGGCCTGCCTACAATCCATCCTGTGTTTAACCAGGCTGGATTGTGTGAGGAGCTTACAGATCCTTGAATGATCTGGACACAGTCCCATCAGTGAACTCCTCTGGCAGGCGAGGCGCTGCGTTGACTGGGTCATTAGCCTGCATGCCCAGCCACCGCATGCCCAAGCAGCTTCTGTTTGGCTGGATAGAGGCGACGAAATAGGAGTAGCACGAGCTAGGGAAGAGATGGACTGATGCAATACAGGAGGAAGTAAAGCTGATTGGAACTGCCACTGACTGGCACCAGCAATGTCAAAGTCAGCCTCTGTGGAGGAGGCTCGTGAAGGATGCTACTGGGCAGTTGGAGGCAATCGCCCTCCAGCAGCAGCAGAGGGCAGAGGAGGGACGCTCAAATCAACGAGCGGAGCACCGGGTGGTTAAAATGCAGCAAGTTGGCACAGTCGGGAGCACAGGTAGTACATCTGCCAGTCATCTCAGTCATGCAACTAATGACATCTGGGTCCCGTGACCTGTCAGCGACTCTTCGACACTTCCCCATGGACTCAAAGTGCACCTAGCCTGTCACACTTGCCATGGTGATGTCACTGCCACCTAGTTGCAGATGCTGTGTATACATAGGCTAGTAAAGACTACGTAGGGACATCATCAGCAATGTTTATTGTTGTTTTTGTCTGTATTGTACAGTCCATTTTGAGTCAACGTGGCCACATGTGGACGTATGTCCCACGATTAAATGGCTTCACAGAAACCGGTGCGACTGTGAGAGTCGTGCACCACGAGTGGCGGCCCCTGTGCGTGTGGCCCTCTGGAGAGACCAGCTTAGGGCAGTCGTGGTGCAATCAGGGTGCCCTGGATGGGCTCTGAATGCAATGTGAACGACCGCAAGGCTCTCGGTTTCCCAGGTTCCACGAGACATAAAAAATCGTGACGCGTGTGCCCTCCAGAGCGCCCTCCTCTTTCACGGTGGCATCGGTATTCTTTATTTGATTCTTCTGTCTAATTCCGCACCATTGCCTCTGCCCTGCGGCCGTGTTCGTCGCCATGCACGTTCACGTTTCTCATTGTGTGCGCACTCTTCACGTGTCCATCCCCTGCTGTCCCGAGGCTGCACCAGGGCTATGGGAGGAGTATTTTGTCAAACTCTACGAGTCTCGTCAATGGAAACCGGGAGAGCGCGGCATCTCGGTGAGGCTGGCGGTTTGCGTGCGTGAGCGTGCACGGACATTCACCTGCCTGAGTGAGCACGTGTGTACGAGTCTACGAGTACACACGTGTACTCGTAGACTCGTACACACGTGCGCGTATGAATGCACGTTTGAGTATGTTACCGTGTGCGTACAAATGTATGAATACGATGTGTGAATGAGTGTGTAAATGTGTATGATTATGTGTGTACGTGTGCTACTGTGTGTGTAAGGGGGAACGGTAGTGTAGTGTTTAGCACACTGCGCTATGAACCTGACGACTCGAGATTCCCGCTCACGGCCAACATCAGTGACGATTATCTGAACCGGTCCTAGGCCTCCCCTAGGTCGATTCAGCGTTAAATCAGTAACTGGTGCGGTGCGTAAAAACATCGCTAATGGGAAGACAAAGGCAGTCCGGCGTGGTGCTGGTCACCCACCTCCTCATGTGCCGTTCGCTAACAGCACTTGCCCCAACAGTCTGTTAATGCTATATGGGGGATCTTTGTTGTTTGGGGAGTAGTGGTGCAGCGGTTAGCGCACTGTGCTGTGAACCCAGCAACACGAATTCGATTCTCGCTCACGGCTACACCGGTAACTATTATGTGAACTGGTCTTGGGCCTCCATGAGATCGACTCAGCCTCAAATGAGTACCTAGTACAGTGTATAGAGATAGCCACCGGGAAGAAAAAGGCGGTCGGGCGTGGTGCTGGTCACCCACCCACTCTTGTACATGTGCTGGCCTTCATAGATGTTCACTAGCACCACTTGCCCAAACAGTCTGTTGAGGCTATACGGTGGATCTTTGTATGTGTGAGTGTGTATATGAGTGCAAGTGTGTCTGTATGGATGTGTGTGATCGTAGCTTTGTGTGAGAGAGTGTGTGTATGAGTGACAGTCATCTCAATCAGTCAACCCATGCCACCTGGGTCTGTCCCGTGACCTGCCAGCGGGCGTTCGACACTTCACGTAGCCTTAAAGTGCACATGCCTGGCACATGTGCCGTGGTGACATCACCACCACTTAGTGGCGAATGGCGGTTGTATGAGTGTGCATCAGTGTGTACTAGTGCGTGTGTATGTGCGCGAGTCTTCACGTGCTGTGGTGGAATGTTGCAAAGCACATTGTGCTGTCCATAGGGATGGCGTAGTCAGAACCCTCATTGTGGGTGACCAGTGGTGTCGTGATAGATGAGCTAAGGTTCCCTCCACTCAAATAATCATATCAATCTCATATAATGATCCTAATAATTACCTAGGAAATCCACAGAGTTAAAATACCTTTTTAGGAGGGTCCTGTTACACTAGGATGTTTGGCCAATCCAAATTACATTGTATGTTTTATCGATGAGAGAAAACCGAAAGTAAAGCCATGCGGAAAAGGGTAAGAACATACAAACTCCACATAGAAAGACGGCACTCGAGTCAGGAATGAATCACAAGGCTCTTTTTGCTTAGTGTGACCTCCTCGCCGACCACCCAGGAGCAGCACAGCACCTGGGCACTGGGGGTCTCCCACCAGGCGGGCTGCGGGTCATTGGCTAGGCAGTAGTCTGACCTCGCATCACCTGACTGAGGCAGGAGTCGGTTTGGGCCACGGGTGAGGTGACAGTGATCATGCTGCTCTTAGAGCCATCCCGTTGATCAGCTCGTCAGCCGTCACACAGTCCCCTCCACGGGCTTCCTTGCCCCCTCGCTAGGGTGGAGTCGCACCAGCCCGTGCTTGAAATGAAACCCCTGACCGGGTGGCTCCCAGGTAAGCACATCCTGGGCAATTTTGGTTTCTTGCGACCAATCCCGCAAGTGTTGGCATCTGCTGGCTGACGTGCGAATTCCTCTCTCTCAGCGCCGGCTCCAACCTCTGCGCCGCACAAGTGGAAGGGCTGTCGGGCGTGGACAGCGCCTTTGAGAGGTATTGCCGAGGATCACCATCACGTGCTGCCAGGGATTAATTTATTTAAGAATAATTCCTGGGTTGCTGCTCAAGTGGAAGAGATGGCACGTGACTAGGGATTGTCATGGCCAAGGGTGTAGTTAGAGCTATGGTGGATGTGTTGTACCGGGCATGCTGACTCCAACAGACCTGGCTGGACTTAATCCCTGGCATAGAGTTGTCTCAGTAGTAGCAGAGTCTGGTCGTTTAGCTGCCTCCCCCGGTACTCACCGGCTCCTACGAGTCTACGTGCTGTGCAGATCCCATGAAGACGGCACGCCTTGTCCTGTAGAAACAGCTCCCCTCGTCCTGTAGAGACCACACACCATGCTCGGTGTCCCCTGTACCTTGTGAGTGAAGTATGATTGCTGTGGGGTGACAAGTTGGTGCGATTCCTTTCCCAGGGATCAAGATGTAGCCTCTGTCTCTGCCTATTACCATATTCCCACATGTCCCACACTGACCGTCTTGTTGTGTGACTCCGCTTGTTTCTGTGTGTCTCTGCGTTGTTTCTTGTGTTTCTGTATGACCCTACGTGTCCCTTTGTGTCGCTTGTGTTCCCGTGCATCTCTGGGACCTGTCTCGCTGCAGGATGAACCACCAGAGCAGCCCAATGGCAGCTGCTCCGGGAAGCACTCCTACGCTAGGCCGCAGGGTCAGGCAGCTGCCCCAACTGCCTCCAAAAACAACAGATGGTCGCGGTGAGTAACAGAAAATATGCCGCTTATTATGCTCACCACACCTCACACCACTCACAACACCACACTCCACTCACCACATCAAACCCTAACCACCACACTGTGCCCTACACAACACACCACTCAGCACACCACACGACACGAACTACACACCAGTAACCACACACCGCACACCACATACCACACACAACATCGCACACCACTAACCATCCCGCACCACACGCCACCACACACCACTAAGTACACACCACATACCACACACCACTAACCACACACTCTGACTGTTCGCTCAATGTCACAACTCTTACTCCTGCTCAATAGAGGAGGAAGAGCACGAGGAGGGGGAAGAGGAGGGGCACGAGGAGAAAGGTACAGCAAGGGATTGTACCTAGAATAGCGTGGCCTCTAGCTGGTTCCTCCCACACCCAGGGTAGTCCTTCCGATCGCTCGGATAGTCGTTCCTCCTGCCATGTAGTGTTTCCCTTGGTGCGGTGTGGTGTGTAGCGATGTGGAGTACACTGGCGTGCTGTGGAGCAGTATGGTGTGAACTAGTGTGGTATGCACTGGTGTGGTGTGTCCTGGCTTGGGCTCTCAGGCCTGGTTGCCATGGTCGAGGCGGAGGAGCGCGGTCGGCCGATGAAAATGAAGATTGGAGGCAAGTTCTTGCAGGCCAGTGCCCCGGGACACTCCGGACCCTTTAATGATGGGGGCCCTGCAGGGGACCCTCACTACAGGGTGAGTGACTCTCACGCTCAATCAGTCGCTCGTACCCACTCACCTTTCCCATCACGTTTACTCTCACACTCACCACATTATACATTTGGCGGCCTGCGTTTAATTTACGCTCACAGAAAACTTTGGTGACGAATGTCTGAACTGGCTAATGTTACACATTGGCTTTCACGACCGATGTTATGATTCATAATGTTATTTTGGTTCAGATCGTTTGGGTATAATGTCATATTTTACAATAACATTCCACTCCCCGATAGAGTCAATCAAATCAAATTCTTACCTGGGTAAATGTACCAATTGATTTAGGAGGAATGTTCCAAAACGAGGAAAATGTTTGACAACTTTGTATGATGACGTTTCGCTGGAGATTACATCTAACGTCATCCATCGGGTCTTCACGGGAACTTCCTGATCCTGGGCCCTTCAGTGGAGGGTCCTTGCCATCACGAGGAAAACCGTGCATGCGATCCCGCCCGACAACGCGACTTGACTGCTGGTTGATTGGTTGTAGTTTGCAGGGTAGATGAGTGTTATGCGGCCAATATACTTAGCATTTTATATAACTCGGCTGTCCTTAATTATATATTCAGGTATATTGTATTAGTAGGAAAGCTGGATTTGTAATCTTCTTGGTTCTTTCGGTAAAGTCACGTAGAAGGGAAGTAATAAAATAATAAAAATAAAACATAATAAAACAATTCTCACGACGTTTCGGCCACAACGCAAGCAGCCGTCCTCTACGTGACTTTACCGAAAGAACCAAGAAGATGAATCCCTGCAGTCACGAAAGCTTTAAATGGATTTGTAATGTTATTGTGATTCGAGGTAAGTGTTGATTGGTTAATAGGGTTGGATAAATCAGCCTTATGGGGATTAGCACTTTTAAAAATGTTGATACTCCGACTGATACTCCTGCTGTTATGGAGTGACTCATGCTGCCAGCCAGGGGCGGTTTCTTCATTAGGGCGATTGGGCGACGCACCACCAATGTCATTCAACCACAGAGTCACGCTAGCCGTCACTGTGCCTCTGGATATAGTCCAATCAGCGTCATGCTACGTTCTGTGGAGTACCGCCTCTTTTTGGGCGATTTCCCTCCAGCTGAGAATCGCCCCGAGTGGTCCCATAGACTTACATTCAAAGATGTTTTTTTTCGAACGGGGGCGCTGCAATGCATTCTCTATGGCTTCCGGGAGGGCTCGCCCTAACGTGCTTACGTCATCATACGTGCTTACGTCATCATACGTAAGCACGTTTCATCCAACAATATAATTTGTCGCCACCTAGTGGAATCTTTAATAAAAGAAACTTGAGTGGTTTGTTTTAATAGTGAGTATAGAAACAAACAAGATGTATTATAAGAGTCACTTTATTTTTAATTAATATTAAAGAAGTGAAGTTGTCTTTACATGCTTAAGCTGTTAATTTATCCATTGCATGGGTGGACCTTATCCTTAGCAATCATCCAGACATTTGCCCCCCCTGAGAGATTTTGCAGGAGCCGCCACTGCTGCCAGCTATGGCTGCAAAGTTTGGTCGTACATGTTATGTATATAGTTTATTGTTAAATTTGAATCACAGTTCCTATGATCACTGTTACATTGATTTTTCGCTTTATTTTGGTGATTTCGAAAACGCTTTGGTTTAGTCATATTTGTTTGTTGTAGTACAGAGTGAGACTGATAACTTTAATCTAAATTGCATTATGGTTGTTATTGTTTGACTTGCATCCCACTGAGATTTTTGCACACAGCGTTGATACACGGTGCTTTTTCTTGAAGACTTTGCTGTTTTTTCCTGGATTTTTCTGTTGCGTGTAGTCACTTTAAGATGTTTCTTGTTCGTGTTTTTGTTTGTTGCGGTTGCACCCGATTCAAGAGCCGCATGGCTCACAGGGCTACACCTAATACATGAACTGAACTGAAGGACATCACCTGTGTCACTAATTCCTCATACCTGGTGATGCTGGGAGTGATCTCCAGCAAAACGGCGAATAAAAATTTACAGCAATTTGCTCACTTTTCAACGTTCCTCCTCCTATGCCTGCTGATGAACTAAACCAATTGGAGCATTTGCTGCCCACGACGTGACAACTTAATTTGATTGGCTCTATCCGGTGTGGTGGAGAGTTATAGTTAAACATTGACATTATACCTCCATGATCTAACCCATAAGAAACTAATTATAATAATCTGAACTGGTCCTGGACCTCCTCTAGGTCGAATCAGCCTTAAATGAGTATCCAGTGCAGTGCGTAAAACATCAACATTGAGGACGTGATTCGTGTGCTGTGCCGGACTTCGTAGGTGCCGCTAACAGCCCTTGGCCCAACAGCCAGTTAAGGACTATGCGGGTGGGATCTGTGTCCTTGTCTTTGCAGCACCACGGCCCGAGAGACAAGAGGCTTGGTTCTGACATCACATCGCGCAAGTCTTCGGACAGCGACGTGAGCGACGTGTCGGCCGCATCGCAGACGTCGAGCCTGTCCCGCGTCAGCACCACCACCTACCTGTCGGTGCAATCGGAGCGCCCGCGGGGCACCCGCAACATCAGGTACCCACAGGGCCGTGGCGGGGCCTCTCCGTGGAGTAACCCCACCTTTGCAGGCAGTCTCCTCTGTCTTTCACTCGTCCGGATTTGCAATCATGCCTGCTCAGTGCTTGGATAATTATTTGCTTTTTTGTCTACTAAAAGTTCCTGTGATTTCGTTCATGGCTGCTGTGTGCGTTTGGCATGTTTTTCTCGGTGGCTGTATTTTTTTGCACATTGCGCTGGTCATCTGCATGCGCTTGTGTGCGCGTGTGTGCATGCGTGTGTGCGTGTATGCTGGTGTCTGTGTCTCGCTGAACGCGTCGCGCTAGAGGCACTCAGAGTGGCGGTGAAACAGAAGGGAGGGAGGGCATGGTGGGGGCGTGCACATGGGGAGACGTGGAGGCCGAGGGGGAGGCCGAGGGGGAGGCCGAGGGGGAGGCCAAGGGGGAGGGCGAGGGGGAGGGCGAGGGGGAGGAGGAGGATGGGGATGGCGAGGGGGATGAAGGGGGCACACAGTCTGGTCCAGAGGCGGAGGACAGGTAACTACTGCCTTGCCTAGCTATCGCCTACTACCCCCAGCTTTTGCCTGTAGTATACACCTGTCTTGCTGGTGGCTGCCTCGCGCTGTGGGCACAGGTCTTGTCTACTGCTCCACACAGACCCTAGTAGCCCAGTCCCGTGTCATGCACGCGACCCCATCCGCACGTGCGTTCTTCCCATCCCACGCCTCAGCGTCCATGCTTTTACCACCTTTTGTGTTCACGCTGAGCTTGCGTTGATTTATTCTCTTTTCCCTCACCCTGGCTTTTCCTGGTCCTCCCTGCGCTGGTGAGTTCTCGAGATATCATTGTGGAATGAGCGTGCAGCGGCTCGGCTCAGGTAACCGGTAATTAATCACTCGTTGGTTTAAAACTCTTCGGCTCGAGGCGGCGATGGTGACGGAAATGGGGGTGGCCTCAATGAGGAGATCGTTGAAATGGACTCTCTTCCCACAATGCAGCTCTCGGCTCTTGCCCACACTGACTGCTGTTTCCAGAGTGTCTCAGACGCCTGCGGTGCAACTTGCGTCATCTCAGACAAACACTCACCTGTGCGGCCACGGCCAGGGTGGTCTCACGAGATGAGCGGTCACCGGCCCTCCAAGCGATAGGAGTGCTCCACCACGTAGTGCCAAATGCTTCCAGCCCTGTTTTACTGCTGTGCCCTGTGTAGTCTCTATGCCATGTGTAGTCGCTATGCTCAGTGTAGCCCCCATGCCCTGTGTAATCCCTATGCCTATCTCTTGTGTATTTCGAGCGAAGGTAGTTGCAGGCTGCGTGGGAGTGTGTGCGATGTGGTGCTGCGGGTGTCCTGCCTCTTCGCTCTGCTTTACTCTTCTCCTCCCTGCTCTTCCCCTGTGTTCCTCACCTCACCCACCCCTCACCAACCTCCCCCACCCCCTGCCCCACCCGCCGTGCCCCATGCCGGTCACAGCATGTTTATGTCTAAAATGCAAAGTCGGCAGGTTGGAGCGTCGGGCGGACGCCGCATGCCCAAGAGTTCGAGTGTGAGCGGGGAGATGTACCGGGCGGAGCGTGCCGACGGCAGCCAGTCTGACACGGGCCTCGGCACAGCCGCTGACGCCGCCCCCAAGACGCGGCGCTCCTCCTTCGGCGCCAAGATGGTGGCCATCGTGGGGCTGTCACGCCGCAGCCGCAGCACCTCACAACTGTCTCAGACCGGTGGGCATGGTGGGCACGGTGGGTGTGGAGCACATGGTGGGTGTGGTGAGAATGGTGGGTGTGATGAGAATGATGGCCGTGGCGGGCATGGTGGGTGTGGCGGGAATGGTGGGTTTGATCGGAATGGTGGGTGTGGCGGGCATGGTGGGTGTGGTGAGAATGATGGCCGTAGCGGGCATGGTGGGTGTAGCGGGAATGGTGGGTGTGGCGGGCATGGTGGGTGTGGCGAGAATGGTGGGTGTGGCGGGAATGGTGGGTGTGGCGGGAATGGTGGGTGTGGCGGGAATGGTGGGTTTGATGGGAATGGTGGGTGTGATGGGAATGGTGGGTGTGGTGAGAATGGTGGGTGTGGCGAGAATGATGGGTGTGGCGGGAATGGTGGGTGTGATGGGAATGGTGGGTGTGATGGGAATGGTGCGTGTGTGTGTGTGCGTGTGTGTGTGTGCGTGTGTGTATGTGTGCGTGTGTATGTGCGTGTGTGTATATGTGTGTGCGTGTGTGTGTGTATGTGTGTGTGTGCGTGTGCATGTGTGTGTGTGCGTGTGTGTGTGACAGACGCGAGTGGGAAGAAGCTGCGCAGCGCCGTGCGACGCAGCACGGAGACAGGGATGGCCATCGAGATGCGGAACTGGATGACGCGGCAGGCGAGCCGAGGGTCGAATGACGACAGCATGAACTCCTACAGTTCGGAGGGAAAGTAAGGACAGAGCTCATTGGCGTGTTCACCTATCCACTCACCAGCATGCTAACCCGTCCACTCGACAGCATGCTTACCCGTCTGCTCACCAGTGTGCTCATTCGTCTACTCAGTAACGTGTTCACCCATCTGCTCACCAGCCTGTTTGTGCACTGATGTGTTAAACATCGTTATTATGGGAACAAAAGCAGCCAGGCATGGTGCTGGCCACCTACCCCCTCGTGTGCTATGTCGGCCTTCATAGGTGCTACTCACTAACAGCACTTACCCCAACAGTCTGTTAAAAGCTATATGGGGGAACTTTGTCTTTGTGTCTGTGTGTGCAGCCTGATATTCCCTGGCGTGCGGCTTGACCACGACAGCCAGTTCTGCGATTTCCTGGACGGGCTGGGGCCAGGGCAGCTGGTCGGGCGGCAGACCCTGGCCACCACACCGCTGGGTAGCGTGCCCACACTGCGGGCGGGGAGGGGGGCGCTCTCGACCCACAGTTCCCATTTCACCCCAATAAGTCACGTCACAGTTTACCAGGCACGAGGGTGGCGGTGCAGTGGGAACATTTGTGCCTCACAACAGGAATTGCCTTGGTTCGATTCCCTACTCAGGCACCTGTCTGTGTGGAGTTTGTATCTTCTCCCCCTGTTCTGCATGGGTTTCCTCCAGCTTGTCCTGTTTCCTCCCATAGCTAAACACACATTCAAACGTTATAATTCAGAAAAAAATGCCTGCAAATTACTCAATAGGCATCGCACACAGTAGGATCGCTCCCTTCTCCAAAAAAACCCTTGGCAGGACCCTCCTATTAAAGAGTTGTGTGACTCGGTGAGGCTTTCCTGGATAAACTAGCATCACCATAATAATAGTGTAGTGGCGTAACGCGCGGGGTTAGCAAAGGGTGATGTGAGGTGACACTGGAGTGGCGTGGCAGCAATTAGGGGCCGAAGCATAGATTGAGCGGGTGCATTTGGAGACAAGCAGGTGTGAGCGTTGGGGCACGGGGTAGGCGCCAGAGAGGCGGGAGATGGAGGGGTAATTGGGGGATAGCCCGTGCAGGAGACGCCGTGGAGGCGGTAGCTTAATGGGGGGTAAGTGAGGACTCCAAACGAGGAGGGATATATAAGGGAGTGTGCGGAGCAGCACGGGATTGGTGCTCAAGGGATGAAGAACACAAGAGTCGGGGAGAAGATGCCTGGGAGCTCGTCCTGCCCACCTCGTTCTCCCCAGCAGTGTTGGCTGATGCCCTGCTGGGGGCAGGGACGAGGGCGGAGGTGTGAGGGAAGCAGGACAGGATAGTGGAGTATAGAGTGAGAGAGAGAGCGGGGGAAGACAGGGTGGTTACCGTGCACGAGGTGCGCAGAGGTGAGTAGGGGGAAGTCGGGGAGTTCGGAACAAGGGTGTGTGTGTGTTAGTGTAAGTGAGGAGCATCCACACTGGATGCAAGGTAAATAAAGTTACAGGTGAAAAGTTAAGAGTGTCCGTGTGAGTACAACACTACAACAGTAATAGGTTCCAGATTATTTGCATATTGGTTGAAGCAGTGGTTAAAATGTCAGTGTAGAAACCCTCGCGTGAAACCTGTTCGTCTTGCAGCCCGTGTTCAATGCCGCTTCTCCTATGCTGCACGTCTCGGTGGGGGTATGGAAACCTTCGTGACAAGTGACGGTATTCACACTCGGTGTACTGAGAAGTGCCCGTATAGCACCGTATACCAGGCCACTTCTACCGCTGCGCTCCAGCGAGAAACCCCGCATACTGTTGTAGAGGGTCCACGCCCTCGACCAATGCGGTCGAGTTCTGCCGTGGCCGCTGCGCTGGAAAAGTACGTGCGTAGAACTCGTAGCTGCGTCCGAGCCACGTGGAGGTGAGGATTGTCATCTCCAGACACCGAGGTCCCACCTGTTCATCTGTGATCATGCGCAGCTGCAATGTGCTGCTGGTGGAACAGGGTCAAGAGTGTCGGGGTGTTGCGCTGATAAGGACGAGCGTCGGCGCTGTGTGCCACAAATGGGTGCCACCGTTGTGTTGCCAGGCGACATTCAGCTGACGATGATCTGCCGACGGGGGCAGCTGGAGGTGGAGGTGGTGAAAGCGCGAGGACTCATCCCCAAGCCGGGTTGCAAGTCCATTGCAGGTGCTCACAACCACTCGCGCACGTCTGCACACACATGATCCACAGAGAATATGTGTGAGAGTGTCTTTGTGTGTGGGGAGCACACGCCTGAGTTTGATTCGTGCTCATAATCAATAACTGACGATATTTGAACCGATCCTGGGCAATCCCTAGGTCGACTCAGTCTCAAATGAGTTCCTGGTGCATTGTGTAAACATCAGCACAAGGAAGACAAGGGTGCTGGGCGTGGTCTTGGCCAACCACCTGCTTGTGTGTATTGTTGGCTTGCCTGAACAGTCTCTCAAGTCTATATAGGGGGTCTTTATATGTTTTTTACTTTTTATGACTTGCATCCCACAGGGATTTTTGCACAGCGTTGGTGTACAGTGCTTTTTTTCTGAAAGACTTTGCAGTTTTTTTCCTGGATTTTTCTGTTTGTGCATAGTCATATAGTCACTTTAAGATGTTTTCTTGTTCATGTTTAGTTTTTTGTTTGTTGCGGTTACACCCGATGCAAGAGCCGAATGGCTCACAGGGCTATACCAAATAAATGAAAATAGAAAAACTGAAACTTTTTGTCTGTGGGTAGCAGTTGTGTAGTGGTTAGTGCACTTTGCTACGAATGCGGCGACCTGAGTTCGATTCGCATTCACGGCCCACATCAGCGTCGAATATATTGACCAGGCCGACTCAGCCTTAATTAAGTACCTAGAAAGGTGTGTAAATATCACCACTTTGGAGACAAAGGCGGCCGGGTGGGTGCCTGCCACACTATCCCCTCTTGTGCCGTGTTGTGCCTACATGGCTCTGCGGGGGATTTTTGTCTCGTTGTTGGGAGTTCACCTCTGCTCTGGTGTGCTTGTGGTGGTACGTGCGTAGCCCCCTATGTGAAGGTGTACCTGCTGGAGGGTGGGGTGTGCATCGCTAAAAAGAAAACCAAGGTCGCCAGCAAGTCGCTCGATCCCTCCTATGGCCAGCAGCTGCTGTTCGATGAGGGTGCCCAGAACAAGGTCCTGCAGGTGAAGGGCCATTCACGAGCTTCACCACTACAGCGCATACGGAGCCCTGCGCGCGTGTGAGTGGGTGTGTGAGCTCCCGTGTACAGGCGTTCACATGGCGATCATCCCCCCTGCTTGCAAAATAATGCTCACTTGCAGGCCTTGTACAGCACAAGGACAAGTTGCCACTGGTGGTTCCCTATGCTTAAAACAGCTGTCCTCTCAGATGCTTCACTACATCATGGGTGCAATATAAATGTGAATATTATTTTATTCACGTCGGCATATGTGTGTAAACATGCCTATGTTTAGATGCATGCGTGTGTCTTTGTATAGAGGGAGCAGTTGCATAGTAGTTCGTGCATTTATGGCCAATACCAGTGACGATTATCTCAACCGGTTCTGGGCCTACCCGAGGTCGACTCAGCCTCAAGTGAATACCTGGTGCAGAGTGTAAACATCACCACTGGGCTTTCATAGGTGCTCACTAACAGCACTTGCCCCAACAGTCTGTTAAAGGCTATAAAGGGGATCTTTGTCTTTTGTGTGCACATGCGTGAGTACAATTGTGAGTCCACAGGCCATGGCATGGAGTAAATCCACAGGGGGTGATTATTATGGCCGTGGCTCTTTGTCTCCCTGACCTGACCTCCTCCGCATGCGCGAGTGTGGGTGACTTCCTCTCATCAGATCTAAAATCGGTGTCACTCAAGGTTTTATTTTTGTGTCCAGGTCATTGTGTGGGGTGACTATGGCCGTATGGACCACAAGTCCTTCATGGGGGTGGCCCAGATCCTCCTCGAGGACGTTGACCTCAGTCGGAGTGTGACCGGCTGGTACAAGCTCTTTCCCACCTCTTCGCTGGTGGATCCCACCTTTGCGCCACTCACACGGCGTCCATCGCAATCCTCGCTGGAGAGCTCCACCGCACCCACGTTTGCAAGATCATAACGAGGGGTACGGGGTCGTGGAACGTGACACTCTGTTCAGCACCGCACCGTCCGTCGTAACCACAGCAACACACGGGCTGCAGGTGGGAGGACATCATGGCGGGGACGGGGGGTGGGCAACCCTAAGATATTGTCCTGCCTCTCGCCCTGGACACACCAGGGAGTGCGCACATGCAAACACATACATATACGCATCCCCTGATGTGCAGCAATCACCCACGTGACGTTGCAGTTTGCCTGACGTCACATTTCCGAGACTCCCTCACCCACTGTCCCTCCAGAAGCCCCCACACTTCATTCTCTTCCCAGCCTCTCCTTTGTCCACACTGCCAGACCTCACTGCCAATTGGCTGCTCATTTCACGAGGGCTCCCTGTCCCAGCAAGGGAAGTAACCCATGTGACACGTGTCATCGGGGTGTGCACCACGAGACGGTCGACGGGGCAATGCACTGCCTCTCCTCTCTGTGCGGGGCCACTATGTGTATACATTGATGGGGGCACGTGTACACGCGCGGCACAGGGTGCGATCTTGTCCGTGCTGGACGGCGTGCGGACTCCATGTGCGGTGTGGAAAAAGAGATGTCGGTGTCCGTGTGCGGTACAGGGGAATGAGTGCCGGCATAATCCTCCTGCTCCTTTTAAGTTGGACAGACCGCGGCCCGTCCCACCAAATCATTGAGTGTTGTGAACGTGCGGTTGCACCAACTACACTTTCGAGTGAAGCCGTCTTGATTGGATACAGGGCCCCGTAGGTTGGGTGGGGGAGACCTAACAGTGCTGGCTACTTGGGGTGGTATGTGGGGGGGGCTGCTGCCCTGAAGCCACTCCGAGCTCTGTGGCAGCTGAGCTGCTGCTGTCTGTCGCAGCACGTCGTGAACCGTGCCAGTTTTATATGACTGCGATTGCATTTATTATGATGTCGTTATACATCCATGTCGTGGAGCATGATTATAAACAGCCACATTTTAAGGGCTTTAATCACCGTAGCGTTGCATGTCCTTTTGATGCAACCGTGGTCTGTGAGTGACGCCGGCCGAGCGGCGTGGGGCATCGGTGCACGTGCTGCCCTGGCCTCGCTCCGCCTCGTCGCTGCAGATGCCGTATAAGAGAAACTATTTTCTGCTTGAATACTTGCATGTACATACGGTACTCGATCCGCAGCACTGATGAGTGGTTCCGACTGTAGCATTCCACGGATGAGGCGCGGGCGGGAGAGCACCTCTTCCCTCTCATCTCCACGCAACGCGCTGGGACTCGCGGCCGGGGGGTTGGCGGCCACCGTCTCGACCACCACCACCACCACCACTCCGTGGGGCTTGGGTCGTGGCGCTGCGGGTACAGGCAGACGCGTGGTCGCCCTCTGCGCCGGGCCGGATGGATGATTGTCGTGGTGCAAAAGTGACGGTGTGTGGCTGAGCTGCTGGGCGATGCCGATGATGCGGGCGAGTAGCGGCGAAAGCAGGCAGTGTTGATGGTTGCTGCTGGTGGTCCTGGCGATGTTAGTTGGCGCCGCTGGTGAGGTGGAGCAGAGATGACGTGCGAGTGGCCGGGGTTCCGACACGCGTCCTCTGGCGACGGGGCGCAGATTATGCAGACGTCAGATCATCATCATCATTGCCTTCTCTGGGTGCGGGTGCAATACGGGGTGGGGGGGGGGGTGCGGGCGGGTGGCGGCGCCTGGTGGCCCTTGTCTCCTCAATAGCCTCACTCTCGCGTATCACGACGGAGGCGCCCGCTTCTCGAGTGCTGCATCCAGTTTTTATATTTGTGTTGAGAGCAGAACAGTAACAAAGAAGCCACGTGTTTGTATATATTTATTGGAGTGTTTGATCAGAATGTGAATTTTATCTCTTAATTTTAAACGGCGTTACCATGTCCCCATGTACCCCGCCGTGTCCATGGCTGGAATAAAGATGACTCTCTTTTCTACACTTTGGCGATCTCCCTACATCAATGTCTGCTTGTGCGAGTGTCTGTCTGTGTCGACCTGTCTCTGATTGCCTGTTGGGCCAAAGTATGGAGAGAAATCAACGTGAAGCAGCCGTTCCTCTGTTGCGCTGCAGAGTCCAGAGAACTGGAGGAGTGGCTTATTTGTGTGCAAGCGGTGGTGGTGACACTTTTATTTTTGAAGTATTTACGACGAAAATGAGCCTGCGCGTGACGTCGCTCACGTCGGCCAGCCCCCCTCGTTAATATTCATGAACAGGTGACGTCACTCAATATGGATCTCCCCGCATTAATAATGATCACGAGCACGTGCCGTCACTCCACATCGAACAGCCCCCCTCATTAATATTCATGAGCACTCCACAACCCTCACGACAAAGGCAGAGCCCTCACGTCACGCGGTCTCCGTCACGCTCTTGTTGAGACATCGAAGTAAAAAGGACGTCGTGATGAACAAGGGATCATCACATTTACATGACAGAGGTTTTGTGTCACCGCCCTGACAAGTTCACACGAATTGATGCAATGGATATCACGTGGCGCTCTGCTTTTCGCTTGCAAGTTTCAGATTTACTGCAACACACCCTAACCCTTGGACGGGCAAAAGGTGAGTCTCCCGATGTTAAGTCAAGGCAGGGTTTAGGGGTTATGGTTAAGGGTTCGTGTTACATGCGGGTTCGGGTTACGCTTTCACACGATTTCGGGTTGGATTAGGGTTTGGGTTCGGCTTGAGGGGTTACGATCGGGGTTACTAACGCACGTGTAGGGTACATGGCGTACCAGTGCAAGCTGTCGGTATGGGCGGGGAGTCCATTCTGCTCCAGAGCCGTCACAAGCAGAAATGAGAGCTTTTGAAACCGGTCCTGGCCATCCTGGCCAAGACAAATGCGTGAGGGGTGGAGCACTCCTCATGGAGGCGGCTCAGTTGAACACCGCTAGTCGCAGGAGCAAAATTGGCAGCAGCAGCAGCAGAACCAGCAGAAGCGTGCGCAGGTGTTGTGTACAAGAGGCTGTGATGTTCTGTGCAAATACATCCAGTTGAAGTCCTCAGGGGCCAACGGAGTGTTTCCTTTGTACCGCGCAAGGCTCCAGAGTGAAGAGATACGAAGGGGCAGTAGCGATCACTCTGGACCCGAACTCAACAGTCTGGAAGTGCAAGCCTTGTACAGCATTGTCATGTCCACCAGATGGCATCACACAACCATGTGTCTCACGTGGTGTAGGGCGACAGACTGGTTATGGTTACGCACGGGTCATGTATGTTTGCTGAACTTCTTTCGCACCGTACGTAACCAACCGTGCTAATTGGAGGTACGGCGAAGGGCAAATTAAGCACAAGATGCAGTTATAAAGAAAGTTGTTTTCAATCTGGATGATGTAAAAGTGCGTAGCTTCAGTGGTTTCCTAATAGCGGAAGGAACTTCGTTCCAAACGTCCACATGAGCGCATCTGAAAGCGCCGCGCGATGCGCTCCTTGACGAGATCGGGGCAAGGAGTTGCGGTTCATTTGTGGCAAGCGCGTTGTGTGTCATGGGTGCGACCCTGACATGGTGCACCATGCACGTGTGTAGCTTTAAACCCTAACGCCCGCTAAATACACCCATTAACCTTAACAACTGCGTCGCCTCGGTGTTTGTGTGCGTGTTGAAGTCCGGTTGGTAGTTCGGGGCAATGGGGGACGCGTTAAAGAGCCTCTCGCGCGCCTGTGGTCACAGCACGAGGCGGCGCCGCTGTAGCGCCGCCGTGTGGACGAGCGGTACAGCTGCAGCACCACGGCGAGCTCATCGGAATATTTGTTTACTTGTTCATGAAGCCGGTCTTCGCCAAGGAAACATTTTCAATCTTTTCTTTTTCTTTTCTCTTTTTTTATTTTCTTCTTCTTTCTCTTCTTCTTCGTATATATAAAAGTCTCCGTGCGCTCGCGCTTGCGGGCGATTTGGCTCTCGGACGGTGGGGTTTAAGACCAAAATAATTTGCCAGCCGGCACGCCCTAAGCCCCGTGGTGGAAATAGGCTATTCCGTTTTCCTATCCGTAAACTTTAAAGTAGTTTAATTAACACATTTGTGCCGTTTCTATTATTCATTATTTACTTATTGCACGACATCGACCGTACCAACTGACGACAATTGCGTGGGGGGGACGGACCCTGCCAAGTGCTGCGCGTTCACTCGAGCTCACGGGGGACATTTTCTTTTACGCGTTTTACAGCCAACACATACACATATATTCACGGATTTTCAAATTACAAACTACTGCATTGACATCCCAAGCTGTCCCATGCGTTTACACCGTTGAATATTTGGTGAACATCGGTGCTGAAATAGTGAAACGCGCTGCATTCTCAAACAGTGCCCTTCAAATCTGCAACAGTCACACCCATCATCGACTTCAATGCAAAATGCCGCCCCGGTTCCACAAGTCACACAAGCAAGTGGTGTGTGCCCTTCGATTCTACTCGACAGAGTCGCGCCATATACGATTCAACTCATCTCGCTGAGACGCGTTTAAAGGCATATGGATTATGGTTTGGGATTAGGGTTAGGGATTAGGGGTTAGGATTAGGGTTGGGGTAGTTAGGGTTTGTGCACCTACGCAGTTTTTGCCAAAATTAGCCAAATTTTCATAGCTACATTTTCCAAGAAAAAGTGCATTCCTCCATTGTATTTACCCTTAGTGTGCTATGTATTAGATTACAGTGGAATATTTCACTATGAAATGTTAACGTCTCAAACAGAAAATCGGCATACTAACCTATGCCGTTTGTATCAAAAATTGGACACATTTTTACAGCTGTATTTTTAAACAAAAAGTGCATTCCTCGGTTGTGTTTAGCCTGAGTATCCTATGTATTACAGTAAAAGTGAGAAATTTCAGCATGACATTTTGAAGTAAAAAAGCTAAAATTGGACGAATTTTAACGGCTGTTTTCAATAAAAAGTGCATTCCTTGGTTAGGGTTTAGGGTTAGGGGTTAGGGGTAGGGTTTGGGTTAGAGGGTTAGGGTTACAAAGTTAGGGTTAAAGGGTTAGGGGTTAGGGTTAAGGGTAAGGGTTAGGGGTTAGGGGTTAGGGGTTAGGGTTTAGGGCTAGGGTTTAGGGTTAGGGTTAGGGTCAGGGGTAGGGTTAGGGGTTAGTGTTTGCGGTTAGGGTTAGGGATATGAATATGGTTAGGGGTTAGGTTTAGGCTTAGGGGCTCGGGATTAGGGTTAAGGGTTAGGGTTAGGGATATGAATAGGGTTAGGTGTTAGGTTTAGGGTTACGGGTTAGGGCTGTGAGGGTTATTTATTTTATCTTATTACTTTTTAAACAAAAAGTGCATTCCACGATTGTGTTTAGCCTGAGTATCCTATATATTACAGTAAAAGTGGGAAATTTCACAATGAAATTTTAAATTAAAAAAAAGCAAAAATTGGACGATTGTTTAAGGCTGTATTCAATAAAAAGTGCATTCCTTGGTTAAGGTTTAGGGTTAGGGGTAGGGTTTGGGTTAGAGGGTTAGGGTTAGAAGGTTAGGGTTAAAGGGTTAGGGGTTAGAAGGTTAGGGTTAAAGGGTTAGGGGTTAGAGTTAGGGGTTAGGGTAAGGGTAAGGGTTAGGGGTTAGGGTTTAGGGTTAATGTCGTGATTTTTATTTTATTTTACTTTTATTAATTTTAATGTTTTTACCTACGTGACTTTACCGAAAAAAACCTAAGAATATGAATATTTAGGGTTAGGGTTTAGGGTTAAGGGTTAGGATCAGGGGTAGGGTTAGGGTTAGGGGTTAGTCTTAGCGGTTAGGGTTAGGGATTTGAATAGGGTTAGGGGTTAGGTTTAGGCTTAAGGTTAGGGGTGTTAGGGTTGTTAGGGATAGGTTAGGGTTAGGGGTTAGGGGTTAGGGTTAGGGGTTAAGTTTAGGGTTGGGGTTAAGATTAGGGTTAAGGTTAGGGGTTAGCGGTTAGGGTTATAGTTTTGGTTAGGGTAACGGTTAGGGGTTATGGTTAGGGATTAGGGTTTGGGTTAGAGGTTAGGGGTTACGGTTAGGGGTTAGGGTTACGGTTTAGGGTTACGGTTAGCGGTTAGGGTTCGTTAGGGTTAGGGGTTAAGGTTAGGGGTTAGTGTTAGGGTTTAGGATTAGGTGTTAGGGTTGAGGCTTAGGGATAGGGTCAGGGTTTGATTTTTTCCGACTTACTACTCTCTGGCACATCTGGCAAAAACATCAACAAGCTGCAGCGTGTACACAATTATTTGGCAGGCGTCATGACTGGAACTGCAAAATCCGACCATGTCTGTCCAGTGCTCACCGAACTGCATTGGCTTCCTTTTGCCGAACTCATACATTATAAGGTTGCCCTCATTACATGTGTAGTGACATAAGAAGGGAGGGGCTGCTGTAGGCTCTGGGTTCCCAGGTGGGTCCAGACGCGTAATCCCCTGGGCGCCAGGCGCTGGGTTCCCAGGGGGTCCAGACGCTTAAGCCTCTGGGCGCCGCCAACGGGGGGGGCTGTGTGTGCTCTGTGGGATGTCTGGTGGCGCACACGGCCCCACCCCTCGTTGGGGACTGGGCATATAACCGGAGCTCCCTGGACGATCGGGCCCGGTTGTAACTCAAGACCCAAGACCCACGACCAGCCATCTGAAGACCCTGGGATGCTGTGAGAGCCAGCGCTGGGACTCTGGAACTCCCGACGCTACGACCTTGTGAGGGCGAGTTCCGGAGCGTAGCCAGAGTAGAGTATCTAGGCTGTGTAGCTAGGCTGTGTACCTAAGCTGTAGCAGAGTACCAGGACTGTTGGAGTGTTGTGTTGTAATAAAGAAGTTACCTCTACAAGTGTCTCCGGAACCTGTTACACATGCAAAGCGCTTGCCACAAGTGAACCCCAATACCTTGCTGGTATCATCAAAGAGCATAAACCATCACGCAAACGCTGGTCATCTTCGCTGCAGCTTCTGGCAAGTCATCGAATAAAGACGGTCGATGCATTGTACGCTTTCAGATGCACTTCT